CCCTTCAGGAGGGGGAAATGATGAGAGAGAGACAATTCTGCCCGTTGTGTACGTATAGCCTTGAATCAGCACCGTAAGAGTCCATCAACAGAATGGTCTCAACCCATAAACTGCCCCTGAGGACATGCCGGCAACAACTCCTTAAAAGCCTCACGAGCCCACCATGGGAGCGTGTTCCGAGTCCTGGCCCCCATCCCCGGGACAGCATCCCTGCCCCCCCATCCCCGGGACAGCATCCCCGCCCCCCATCCCCGGGACAGCATCCCTGCCCCGGGACAGCATCCCTTACCCAATCCCCGGGGACAGCATCCCTGCCCCGGGACAGCATCCCTGCCCCCAATCTCCGGGGACAGCATCCCTGCCCCGGGGACAGCATCCCTGTCCCCCATCCCCGGGACAGCATCCCTGCCCGGCAGGACCCCCCGGGACAGCATCCCTGCCCCGCATCCCCGGGACAGCATCCCTGCCCGACAGGACCCCCCGAGCACCCTCGATGACCAAGGCCACCCACCCGCAGAGCCCTTCCCGGGGGCGCTTCGCCTCCCGCCTGTCAGGGAGCGAAGGGGGAGCGAAGGGGGAGCGAAGCACCAGCGCTGCCGGGCACCTGCCAGCCCGGGCCGGTGCGAGGGGCCCCGCGCCCACCGCCGGCACCGCCGGGAGCGGGTCGGGCACGGACGATGCCGGGCAGGGCCGGCACCCGCAGCACCTCCTGCTGACACGGGGGGACCCCCCCGGGACCCTCGGAGCTCCCCCCGCGCCGCGGGGCAGGCGGGGACGGGACCCCCCGCTCCGGCCAAGGGCACGGGGAGGGAGCGGGGCCGTGTCCGCCCCACCTGCCACCCCCGGGAGCGGAGGGGAAGGGGCTGACAGACCCCCGGGGATGCCGAGGGGGGCCCGACCCTCCGCAGAGGACGGGGAAGGGGGGACGGGAACCGGAGCGGGCGGCAGGCCCGGCCCGGCCCCGCGCACTCACCCGCGGGCTGCCCGGGCGCGGCCGGCGGCGGCAGCAGCAGGAGGAGGAGGAGGATGAGGACGGGGAGGATGAGCAGGAGGCGGCAGAGGCGGCTCCGGGCCCGGGCCATGGCGCTCCCCGCCCGCATCGCCCCTCCCGCTGGGGCGCTGGGTCCGGCCGGCGGCCCCGCGGCCTTATGGAGCCGGACCGGGGCCTGCGCTGCACCGCCCCGGGGCGGGGCCCTCCGCCCGCCCGCCCCGGCACGGCCCCGAGCCCCGGCACGGCCCCGAGCCCCCGGGACGGCCCCGAGCCCCCGGGACGGCCCCGAGCCCCAGGGCACCGGCCCCGAGCCCCCGGACACCGGCACCGGACCCGGGCATCGGCACCCGCCGGGACACCGCACCCGCGGCGGCACCGCCCCGGGTCACCTCGGCTGTTCCAGCGCTTTTGGGGATTCAAAACGACCAAGTCCCCAAAGCGGCGGGGTCCCGAAGGAAACGCCCGCGAAGGGAGCCGGTGTCAGCACGGACTGCGGCTCCGCCGGCCTTTCCTGCCGAAAAACTGGAAGCACAGAATACACCGAGCTGGGAGGGACCCACAGGGACCATCCAGCGCAACTCCTGGCCCTGCACGGCCCCAGCAATCCCACCATGTCCCTCAGAGCATCCTCCAAACGCTCCTTGAGCTCTGGCAGCCTCAGAGCTCGGCGTCTTCCTCTGGGAAAAGCAGGAGCAAACAACGTGTGACACATCTGTCACATTACACTTGGGCGATGGAGGAGCAGCACGACACTGTGTGTGAGAGCCCAGACAAACATGACACCGAGGTTCTCCATCTCCATCCCTCCAGAGCCTGCGAGTCAGGGGATAAAAACCCTGTGCCTGAGCATTGCCCAAGATACAGGAGGCTTCCCATGAATTGTGGTAATAGCATGGATCACATACAGATACCTCTGTGCCGTGTACAAATAATGCACAAACATGAATCATCCCATGGTTCCTGCCTGAGGGGCAAGAGATTCCCAGGGCCAGATGTAGCAAGAGCCACATCCATCTCCCTTGGCTTCTCCCATCACTCAGCACCACTATTGCAGCCCTGCAATACGAGGAACTGAAGACAACACCCCTGGAGGCTCCAGAGACGAGGCCAGACAGCTGGGACAGCCCCTGAGCACACGTCTGGGGTCACATCAACTGAGCCAGGTGGAACACCCCTGGGATGCCCACATCCACAGAGCCGCCGTTCAGGCTCGATGGGAGCTTCTCTGGAAGAACCGGGTGAAACCACCCAATAAATCCTGGAGCTCTGCAGCGTCTGAAGCCACAAGTGAAGACCAGGCTCTGCCGGTCCCGGAGCTCCGCTCGGAGCGGGGCGGCTCAGGCCGAGCCCCGGCGGTGCCGGTGCAGCCCCGGGAGCGGCACCGGCGCCCCGCCCCTCGCCTCCCCTCCGCCCATTGGCCTCCAGCCCTCCCCGCCAGCCAATCGCCTCCTCCGCTGGCGCGCAGCCCCTTCCGCGGCTTCTTCCGCCTTCGCTTCGATTGGCTGCGGGCCGCCCTTCCCCGCGCCCATTGGCTGCGGGGGGCGCGGCGGCGGGCGCCCATTGGCCGGGGGCGGCGCGGCCCGGGGCCGGGCGGGGCGGCGGTCCCGCCATGGCGCCGCCCGTGGGGTACGCGCTGCTGTGCGGGCAGGCCGCGCTCCTGCTCGGCAACCTGCTGCTGCTGCACGGCCGCGGCCTCCCGGGCAACGACACCGAGCCCCGCGACCCGCCGCCGGGGCCGCCCGCCTCCGCCTGGGCCTACACCGACCCGCGGGCGCCGCTCGTCCTCTGCACCTACCTGTGAGCGCTGGGCCGGGGGGCGGCGGGGCGGGAGCGGCCCAGCCCGGGCCGCCCTCACCGGCCGCTCCCTCCCCCGCAGCCCCGAGGAGTTCGTGGAGTGCGAGGAGCCGGTGGACCACGGCGGGAACGCCACGGCGCAGCAGGAGCTGGGCCACGGCTGCGTGAAGGTGAGGGCGCGGCGGGGGCGGGGGGCGGCCCCGCGGAGCCCCCCCGGCCCCGCTGAGCGCTGCCCCCGCCGCAGTTCGGCGGACAGGCCCACGGCGAGGTTGACCACACGCGGGTGCAGTGCCGGGCGCTGGACGGCATCGAGTGCGCCGAGCCGCGGAGCTTCCTGCGGGGCAGCCGGCCCTGCGTCAAGTAGGAGCGGCCCCGTGTCCCCCCAGCCCCGGTGCCCGCGGGACGGAAACTCCCCCCCCCCGGGCTGGCAGGGAAGGCTGACACCCCCTGACCCCTCCGCCTCTCCCCTGGCAGGTACACCGGGCACTACTTCATCACCACGCTGCTCTACTCCTTCTTCCTGGGCTGCTTCGGCGTGGATCGGTTCTGCCTGGGCCACACCGGCACGGCCGTGGGGAAGCTGCTGACCCTGGGGGGCCTGGGCATCTGGTGGTTTGTGGATCTGATCCTGCTCATCACCGGAGGGCTGATGCCCAGCGATGGCAGCAACTGGTGCACCGTGTACTGAGGGAGGGGTAGGGCTGGAGCCCCCCCAGGGCACCTCCCCTCGCTCCCAGCACAGCCCAGACTCTGCCCGGCACAACGTGGACTGACAGAGCTGGAACTCACCGTGCAGAGCAGTCACTGTCCTTAATGCCTCTGTACAAACCTCGGACACAACGTTGCTCAGTGTATATTTTGCTTATTTAAAATAACCTGGATTCTCTCCCCCCCCCCACTCCCCACATGGTGACAGCTTAAGAAATCAGACCTTGCAAACACAGGAGGTCAAACAAACCTTAATAAAATCTGGAAGGAGCTGACTCCACGTAGTTTGGGGATTATTAGAGTCACAGCCACACAGAGATGGAGGCCAGCCCTGGTTACCTCATGGTCATGGGCCACTCGGCCAGGGGACACAGGGTCTGAGGCTGGAACCTGTGAGGTTGAGTAACCCCTGTTACAGGGACTCTGTGGCAAAGCCAGGAGCTCTAATTCCAAGTTATTAACACCCTGTTCCCTCCCTCAGGGGAAGCTGGGTTAGGTTTGGTAGAACCTGCATCCTCTGGAGAATGTTACTTTCCCCACTCCTGCCTTTCCAAAGCAGCTCTTGTCACTCATTAGTGACAGGGCTCGTTTTTACCCTCTCCAGCCCCAGCCCCAGCACGGGGTGCCTGTGGGAGCTGCAACAGCCTCGCACCCAAAAGAGGAAGCCCCACCAGCTGCAGGCTGAAAACTTACCCAGCTGAATAAAAAGGGGAAAAGGAAGCTGCAGCAAGTCCCAGCCAGGGCCAGACACAAAAAATCCGTGTATGCAAACGTCGGGTCACACTTGAGGTGAAACAGCAAACACACACTGCTGGTGTCACACAGCTCTGCAAGCTGAGGCCCCTCCAGCCCTCTGCCTTTGGCCACCCTCTGCCTGTGGTTCTTCTCCTCCTGTGGAGCTGCCCCGGGGCTCAGTTTGGCCGGGAATTCTGCCTGTTCCAGTTTTGCTTTGTGGCTCATTGCACCAGCTACTCCTCTCGGGGCAAGGGGGGGTTGTTGCCCAGTTAGGTCACCACTGATCTGAGTTTGGCAGCTTTGACTGGGGTCAGGGGGTGGCTTCCTCCTGAAACTGCCACATTCCTCAGCAGAACAACTGGGCTGGAAAGTCCGTGGAGGGGAAAAAATTCTGCAGCGAGCCAGAAAGAAAAATAATAATCCCATGTGCAAAAGCCCATTGTCAGGAACAGCTCCCAGGTCCCAGCCCCCTGCTGCCAGCTCACAGCAGGACCCCAAATTCCTTCCTGCACCAGGCTCTCCTGAGCTACACTGAGGAACACTCAGGGCCTTGGTCTGGCAGCTTCCCTCCTTCCCATGCCTTTGGAAAGGCAAAGAGAGCTGTGACATCCCCGTCCCCCCAGACCCAGAGCCCCCGTGTGTGCAGGGCAGCAGCACCCTGAGAGTGGGGGGCACCCACCAGTGGCCTCGGGCTCCCCCCACCCCAGTGGGGACAGCATTCAACACCCTGGCAATTCTTACCCAAAATACACAGTGCAAAGGGACAGCTTGGGAAAGCAACTGGAATTTCCCTCTTTATTTAAAAACACAGGGAAGAAAGGGCCCTCCAGCATTTCCAGGCGAGGGGCGGGGGGTGGGTACCCCACACCCGGCAGTCACGGAGCATCACCCCCACCAGGCCCCCGGCCCTAAGAGCACTTGAAATCCCCGGCCAGCACTGGCAGGAACGGCTGCAATCACCTGGGAATGTCCATGGGAACAGGGCAAACCCTTCTCTCACACCACTCTGCCCGCAGGGCACCCCGAATCTGCAGCACCCCCAGGAAAGCCCCACAGCACACGCTTCAGGAGGGACCAGCTCCATGGGGGTGTGTCCAGGCCAGAGAGCTGGGAGACAAATGCAGAGCTGAGAGGACACCAGCTTGCTTTAAAATCACCACAAAGCTCATTGAGGTCTGGCTGCACCCGCCCTGTCCTTCAGGATGGGAGGGAAATTCCTCTGCCCAACACCACCTGCATAACAGATGGGGCTGGAGCCCGGCTCAGCTCCACACTTGAAATTCATCTGCAGCCTTCACGCTGTCCTGGGGATGCAGGAGGGTGGGAACGAGCAACAGGAATGTTGCAATAATGCTGGAGTCACTGGTAGTTTCTCCTCCTGGATAATTAACCCTAATTGTGCAACAAGCTTCTGTTTTACCATCCCAGGCCCGAGGAAACTGTGCAATTATCAAGCACCAGGAAGACTCTGGACTCTGGGGTTCCAAGGCCTTGCAGGAAGGAACCATCATCCCTCTGCATTCCCTGTTCTCCAAGACTGAGGTCAGAGCGCTGTCACCCAACACTGTGACTCTGATGGATGGGCTTTACCAAACTACTAAAACATTCCTGGAACACTGCGTTAGGAGCCAAACAGCAAGTCAGCCTAAAAAAATTAAAGATTTCAAACTCTAGTGCAAATAAAGCAAAAAGGAGCAGAAAAAGGAACAGCAGGATCTGAGCTGCTACAATTAAATAACAAGTTCTAACACTTGCCCTGTACCATTTTCATCGATTCACACTCGTTTTCATCATCTCGGTTTTCTCCAGCTCCTCCACACAACCCCTTTTGAGACCCCTGAACCTGGGGGGCCCCATCCCTGCCTCCCCCAGCTGCACCCAGGCAGCTCCCCTGTGCCTGCCCCGGAGCAGCAACACCGATCCCCAGAGGGGACCAAGGCAGGAAGGTGCAGTTTGAATCGTGTTAAGGTCAGTTGGGCTAATCAAGGCTCAGAGCTCAACTGATAAAGCTCCTCTCAACCCTGGGCTGAGGCTGAGGAACAGCTGTCAAACAGCTGGAGGCCCCAAAAGGGCAGGGAGAAAGCAGATGTTGTGCTCCTGGGGAGCAGGCTGGGCTGAGTGTGCAGAGCAGGGGATGTGCAATGGCCAGGGAGGCGAAAGGGGAGCTGTGTCCTCACTCAGCACCCGGGGATTGCACTCGCTTTCGGGGTGAAGGTATCAGACGATCTCGCTGCCAAGGGAACACCTGGATTTTCTACACACTACTTATCACACCTACAGGAGCTCATTTGGTTATGGAAATGACGATTCACGTCGCCCTAAACGCTCGCGGTGGTTTCCACCTCGGGCAGGCAGTGGGTGAGTCAGCCAGACAAGTCTGCCCAGTTCCATCAGGCACTCGCTTTTCGGTGCTTTTTCCTAAAAGCCCTTCCCCACCCAACACGGCTCCCTGTGTCCAGGTGTGCACAGTGCAAACCCAACACCGTACCTGAGGATGCTCCCACCTGGGAGCCACCGTTGCTCCAGCTCCCTGCTCTGGCCTGCGCTCAGGAAGTACCAAAAAACACTTGGGGAGGCTGAGCACCTGCCCGGGCTGGGGTTCAACAGGAGCCACACGTATAAAAGGATGTAATTAAAAGCCAACAGATTGCTGATACACCCCTGGGCAGGCGGTGGGAAGAGCTGGTCCGAGGGTAGTAAGTCATTGGAAGGGGAAGCTGCAGGGAGTCCCCTGTGTAGGCAGCTGTGGGCTGGGATCTCTCAGCTCTGCCCCACTCCTGGGGAGTCTGAGCAGCTTCAAAGGGGACAGAAACGTTTTTCAAACACAAGAAAGGCCACACTTCCCTTCACGCTTCCAAGACCTCCTGTCACTTCCTCCAGACTTGGTTTTTGGGGGATATTGTGGAGTTGCAGAAGATGTCCCCTCATCCAGGTCCCCAGCACCTCCTGCCCCACACAGCAAGTGCTGGCAGTGCCCGGAGGCACCTTCCAAAACACAGAGCCACCGGGGCCAAGCCCGGGCAGGAGCAGCCAGGGCAGAGCAGGGCACCGGGATGCAGGTCCAGAGCGATCCTGCACCGCAGGGAAGGGCTGTGGGGAGGGAAGGGACCACCCTGCACAGCCCCAATCGCCCCTCAGGGACCCCCGGTGCTGGGTGGAGCCGGGGGGGGTGGCTCGGTGGTGCTCGCTCAGACGTCGGAGGTCCGGATGCTCTCGTCGTCCAGGTCGAAGGCGAAGGGCTTCTCCTTGAGGTGCTGCGGCTCCGACCTGTGGCGCAGGCGCGTCCCCGGTGCGGCTCTGCCCCCGCGCTCCGTCAGGGCCGCCACGAACACCGAGTCTCTGAGCGGCTCCGGCCGCTTCCCCTCCGCCGGCGGCACCGGCGGCACCTGCGGCACCGGCGTCCAGGGCTGCCAGGAGGAGCTGGACGGGGCCCTGCCCGGGGCTCTCCGCTCCTCGGCCGCCGGCCGCACCGGGGACGGGGCTGAAGAGCTGCCGGACCTGCCCATGGAGGTGGATCTCATGAAGGACATCTCCTGCAAGGACAGAGCAGAGCCAGGCTGCCGGGTCCGGGCGTGGGATGCTGCGCCCTGCCCGTTTCACACGCTCTGCGGGAAAGGAGAGAGCCCAGAGCAAAGGGGAAGGTGGAATTCCACAGCCTTTGCCACCCATCAGGCTTGTGCCTCGGAGCAGAGCAGGGCTTATGCAGGTCCACTTTGGCAGCTGAATCTCACTCCTCCAAAGGAAGCTTTTCCAGCAAACCCAAGGAGGGCAGGGATCTCATCCTGGAATAATCAGTCTAACCAAGCACTTACACCATCCACTAAATAAATATCTCACACATTGGCCTGAACTCCATTAGACACTAGATACGAAGCAGAAAGGACATGACCTACCCTGGGGCGGGTCTTCAGGGCCTGGACTGCGGCCGTGATCGCCCGGATCCAGCTGTGCATGTCCTCGGGGCTGTCTGCCTGCAAACACACCACACCAGTCAGGCTCTGCCTCCTGCCACGTGAGGCACCCGCTGCCCCGGCATTCCCAAGGCTCAGCTCTGCCTTTTCCTGCTCTCAAACAGCCCCGATCATAAATAAGCCCAAGGGAGAAGTGAACCCCCCCCGGAGCTCTCCCTCACTGTGTGTTACAGCCCCACCTGTCCATGTTCACTGCTGAGAGCTGAACTTATTGCCCCGAAAACTATCCCGGCCTCGGCTGCTCACCTGGATGTAGAAGGTCCTGGAGCTTGTTATGATTTCAAAGAGGTTGTCCCGCATCAGGAGGTCACTGGAAGCAGTGAGAAAGAGACAGTCACACCAGCAGCCATCGTGGATGGAAAAAAACTGTGGTTATCCTCATCTCCGGGGCAGGCCGGGGAGAAACATATTGAAGGCAAACCTTGGGTCTCATCGGGATTTTGAGAAGACTCCAGCTCCCCAGAGACCCTCAGCCACACCCCCTCCCCAGCTCTGCCATCAGCAGGCAGACTCAACACGGACGGGAGCATTACCCAGACTTGACCAGGCACTCGTGGGTCTTGCAAACGTCCTTCAGCAGAATCGAACGCAAGGGCTCCTTGTCCTGCAGAGGTGAGAGGAGACGGTGATGGGCTCGGCTGGGATGTGCCTCTCACGGAGGCCCCTGAGCCAGCACAGCAGCAGTGCCAGAGCTCTGCTCACCTGCTCACACTTGTAGTAACTGATGGAAAACTCATCCAGGACGAAGTACCGCCGCTTCCAGCTCTTCCTCTGGAAAAGAGGAGGAGATCGCTGGGTGCTGGGCTCCACCACCCTCCCCACCCACACCGTCGTGGTGCTGCACGTGGTGCTCCAGGGCATCCCTGGAGCGCTCCCAGCCTGGCACTCGCCATGTTCCTGGCACTCACCATGTTCCCGGCACTCACCACCTTCCCCAGCACTCACCACCTTCCCTGGCATTCCCCGGCACTCACCCTGTTCCCCAGCACTCACCACGTTCCCCTGCTTGACGCAGAAGCCGCTCTTGAGCGCGGGGGGCCCTGTGGGTGGTTTGGTGGCCGAGGGGGGGATGTAGCTCTGCGAGCGCCGCAGCAGCGGGTGGGCAGCCCCCACCTCACTGCCCTCCCCTCCGTCCCCGCCGTTCTGCAAGAGAGAACAGAGTCACCGGGAGCAGGGAGGGGGAATTCCCTGCTGGAAGGCAGGACACCCAGCTGCAGGGAAAAGCCACCTGATGCAGTGTGTGAGCTGAGGGCCAAGGGCAGCGCTGGACACGGGCAGGGAATGAGCCAGAGCCCAGAGCTGATGTTCTCTCATTGCAGGCAGCTTCCCGGGCTGCTGCCTTGGTACTCTTCACCCTTTTGGCACCCACGTGTTAAAAAAAAATCAGAAAGGCTACAGAAAAGCAACAGAAAATCTCTTGAAGCGGGGGAGTTAAGGGAGCTCATCTGTCTGGTTCATCACACACCGAGAGGTGACTCAACTGCACCACTGCAGGTACGAGGAGAACAGGAACCACCAGACAAACCCAAGTCAGAAAGCAGGGATGCTTTCCAGCAGAAGAAGGCAATATCTCATGGGAATAAACTGCTCAGGAAAGCCATAAAGTCTCTGCTCCACATTTTCAGAGCCAAATTCTCCCAAAGACACTGGGGTGCTTGGAGTCGAGGAAGAGAAGCTGTGCCTCCCTCCTCAAGTGCAACGCTCACTGCTACGAGCACGGAGGGGCCGTGGCTGTGGCCCCGTGCCCAGCACCCACCCCTGGCTCCCCCCAGCACGTCCCAGAGCACCCCAAGGGGTGGGTCCTGCCCCGCCGCCAGCATCGCCCCGCCAGCGCCCTCCCTTCCCCCCCGCAGCGAAGGGGATGGTTGAGATGAAACATCTGCTGCACTCAGCTCCTTCCCCGTCCCTCCAACCCCTTCCTCCCGCCGGGGCTGAGGTTTGAGCATTGCCATGGCAGCGGGGTGGCCCCGGCTGCCACCAGCCTTATATGGCCCCGTGCCGGTGCCGCTGCGGTTGAGCCGACGGCCCGCCTGCCCCGCGCCTTCCAGCACCTTCCAGAGCTGCTCCAGCGCCCCCAGGACAGACAAGCAACTTTTTGGCTGGTCCTAAAGCGCCGCCCAGCCCCTCAGGAGAGGGAGAGAGCTCCGGCCCTGCTGGCATGGGGATGCCACCCGTGCCCCTCGCCTGGGGCTGCGCCAGCTCTGCTGGGTGTTACACAGGGGGTGTCCAAAGCCAGAGCTGAGAACGCTCCTGCGACAGGGAGGGTCACAGCCTGGAGCTGGGGCGATGCTGCTGGCCAGCCTGGGGGTGCAGCTGGAATGTGGGGCTCCCCCCCTGCAGCCCCGGAGCAGCACCAGCCAGGAAACCACAGACGCGCCCAGGAAGCTGCAGCAGAGGAATGGCCATTTCACACACAAAGAGGCAGCAGGAGCACAGAAACCTTCTGGCAGCTGATGCTCCACCTCCAAAAAACCCCCGTGCACCCCACTCCCCTCCGCACACCTCCATAGCCCCACCAAACCCTGCAGCCAGGGACGTGTCAAAAGCAGAAACCACTGCAATGATCTAATTCTCTGCTCTATTTTTAGTGCTGCCACTGATAGGGCTGAAGTGAGACCCGGAGCTGGACCAGCGCCCAAAGGTGGGCGATGCTGACGACCACGTGCCCCCCCGGCCATGTGCCAGGGCAGGGGATGCAGAGCCACAACAAGCAGTGCCAGCCACCCCCCCAGGACAGGCCAGTCCCTCTGCCCTGGGGACCTCAGGCAGGATTTGGACCCAGGACAAGTGGGTGGATGGCGATGGCCAGGAAGCCGAGCGGATTTGTGGCTTCCTCCTCCTCCCCACACCCCTCATCCCATCACACCTCAGAGCAAGACAAAGCAGAGGTGCCACAGGGTGCTCAGAGCAGCCCTTTATACCTGCAGTGGGAAGGGCACCACGCCAGTTTCCAGAAACAGAAGTGCAAACCAGCTCACCTGGTTGATGGAGATGGGCGTGTGGACCACCACCCCCCCCACAATCTCTGTTTTGTAGGCCACCTGGGGCTTCCTCTCCTGGGCCTGGGGGACCACGGGGGGCTTCGCAATCTCTGTGGCCGGGGGGACGCTGCCGCCCTTGGGCACCTGTGGGAGAAGCAAAGGGATGAAGGGCACAGGGCGACCATGCAGGGCAGCCCCACGCCTGCACTGGGCACCCCTGTCTCTGTCTAATGCAGCAACATCCCTTTAAAACATAACACCTGAACAAGCACCCCAGTTAGGAAGGGTGTGGGCCCCCCTGGGCGGCTTGCAGGAGGCACCCAGATGGGAGATGAGAGGTGCTGAATGATTAAGCATCACCTCAGAGGCGCCTGCGATTCGCCTCTGCAGCTCAGTGCGTTTGTGGGACACTTGCTCCTTTAATTGTCCCCGCTCCACTTACAGCCAGGCTTAATGAGGAGCTGGCTCTGGCTAACGAGGCTGAGCTGCACGTCCACAGCCCCCCAGCCTGGCTGTGACCCTGCTGAGAGTGGCCCCACAGCCCTGGGCACAGGCTGTGCTGCAGGGACCCAGCTCCCAGCACTGGCATCTTCCCTTTCCCCCTCCCAGCTCCTTCCCTCTGGCACCTGGCTCTGGACAAAAAGGCGTGTTTCCAACTTTCCCTTCCCGAGCCTGCACTTCCACTTCCTTACTGCCATTCGTGGGGTCCCTGGCTCCAAGCCACCCTCCTGCTTCCCCCCCAGAGCAGGGCAGAGTGGCAGCGTCACCCACATCCCAGTAGCCCTGAGTTTCCCAGCCCGTGACAACTCCTCCCTGCAGGGCTGGAAGAGCCGGTCGGCCAGCTGGGACACAGCCAGAGTCAGGAAGGGCTGGCCAACATCAGGGTATGGAAATCACCACAGTTTCTTGCAGAGGCAGAAGATGTATCTCATCTTCCCATCACCCCAGGTCCCACCTCTGCCAGCCTGGCAGACCCTCCACCCCCTCCAGGCAGCAGCCCCTGAGGAAACTACACTGATGTTAGAGCCAGACACACACCCTGGGCAGGCTCTGGCTACAGCTCTACCCAGCTCTGGAGGTGAAGGTTGTGGCCAATGTCACCTGGACCCAGAAAGAGAAGGCATGAGCCCGAGCCCCTGCAGTCTGGTGGCTGCAGGCACAGAGGTTGTCACACAATGTCTTTGCAGACAAAAAAAAGAAAATACAAGCCGGGTCTGATCTTGCAGGTCAGTTTGCCACAGAGGCTACAACATGGCACTCCGGGGATTTTAAAGAAAAAACTCACCTGATAGGCCCCAAACCTAAGCTGTTTACCGTGATTTTTCCTTGCACTTGGTTCACACAGCACAAACAACACGCATCAGTGCACAGTCTAGCAGAACTCTGCTCACATTAAGCATCAGCCCCACTGCTCACTGCAGCTCAGCAGAAACCCCCAACCCCTTCCCAGGGACCCCCCCATCCAGGTGCAGGGAGAAGCCGTCCTGGAGCTCCCAACCCTGAGCCCCTGGAGCAGGCACTGCCAGCTGAGCATCACCCCCAGCCTCGGAGGAGGCTCCTGTTCCATTCCCGCTGCACGGGGAGGGAGAGCAGCACATCCCCCATCGCCGGGAGCTCCGGCAGCTGCGGAGCACAGACCCTGCACAGGCTCTGCACAGACTCTGTGAGCTGCTGGGTCACTGGCCATCAGCACACGGCTCCCTGAGCACACCACAAATGAGAGGAGATGGCAGGAGAGCCCCTCTGGATGCAGGCACAGCCTCCCCACAGCGCAGGGCGCTCGCTGCGCCTCGCCACAGCACCCGGCGTTCCAGGGAGAACAAAAAATCGAGCAAATAAGTTATTGAAGCACAAGAAAGACGCCCTTTGACAGCCACAGCGAGGAGCTGGCTGGGCTGGATCCCAGTCAGCAGGAGCAACAGGAGGGAGAGGGCCCTGGAGCAGGCGGGGATGGGGACAGCAGCCGCCGTCCCCCACAGCTGGGCTGGGAGGGTGAAGAAAGACACACCCAGTAAATCCCAACCAGGGGGATCCCTGGGGATGGTGGAGGCAACATCTGAGAAGAGCATGAAGCGACCTACCGTGATCTTACTGGCCCGGTTCAGCGCCTCCACCCAGTCCTGCAGATCCTTCTGATCGCTGGCTTGCAAGAAATAGCGCTGGGACAGGGCGTTGATGACTGCCGGGGAAGGGGAGGACAGGGACAGTTGGCAGGAGCCAGGAGGGCTCACGGCCCACGCCACAGCCTCCCGTGGCAGGGTGTCCCCTCACAGAGCCCACCGGGGTCCCCCTCACTCACCAAAGCAGAACGGAGTTTTCGGCTTCTGTTTGGGGGTGGCGACGCTGACCTGTGACAGAGCAAACCAGGGGCAAAATTAGAGATAACAGCCCATGCTCGTGGGGGGCAAGAGAGCTGGAACTTTCCACCCACCCACCCCATGTCACCGCCGGGCACTGCGCCCAGCCTGGGCTCTGCCCCCCCGGGCAGGACCCCCCGTGCCCACGAGGACAACGTGAGGTGCAGCACAGCTGTGCCAGCTGTTGGGAGCTGTGCCAGCTGTTGGGAGCTGGCCCGTGTCAGAGGAACAGCGAGCACACGCAGGGTCCCAGGGGAAGGTCAGCACAGAGCCAGGACTCTCATCCCCCCCGTGTTCCCCCCGGCACCGGCTGCGCTGCACAGCAGAGCACAGAAAGCTTTCAAAGGCCCCAGAAACACGAGTTCTCCTGGACTAACACAGTTGCTCTTGTCAGCAATTAAGAAAATTGAGGGAAAATAGCAGTGGTTTCTCCCTAAAGAGCAGGAATCATTTATATAAGAATAATATTCCTTGGGGCTCCGAGCACAGCATTCATGGAGTATTTATTCTGACAGCCCTCCTCCATCAGAGCCAGTCCATAATGCTTTAAATATGTTTTCTCAAGCAAACCTCCATTTTTCTGGTATATTTACTGTTGGTAGTTCCAGCTGCTGGCAGAACCCAACCACGCAGTTTGTGACCAAATGCTGTCCTGCAGCAATTTTCATTTAAACTAAAACCTATATAATTTGTAAGTGAGGCTCCTTCTGAAATGGGGAAGGCTCAGCCTCCCGGCGTTGCTTCATCTGCGCTTAATTTATAAATCATGATTCAGCAGGAACAGAGAGATCTGTCCAACTCTTTATCCGGCTCCAGGACAAAGCTGAGCTGAGCCACGAGCCCCCCACTCCCCCCACAGCGGCCGAGGGGCCACTTGCAGGAGGAGGACGGTGCAAGCTCCGCTCTCTGCACTCGCAGCCACGGCTCCACGTGTCTCACTCACTGGGCCTGCAACAGTTGGCACTTATTGCACTATTTCTGCCTTCTCCTGGAGGCCGGATAACACTGTTAAGACACACAAAAGTGAGTTTCCAGAAGGTCTCGTCCTTCAGGGTGCTGCCCTCTGAGCACAGGGGAGAGCTCCTGGTGCACCATGGAGCTGACTGCCAGCTCCATGTCCAGCTCACACCGACACCACGCTCCTGTCCCCACTCGCCCCTGGCTGCCCCGTGTCCTTCCTCTTCCTCCTGCACCCCGACCTCGCATCCCCTCCTGTGCTGGTCCATGGGTGAAGGTGAACACGGACCCAGTGCTGGGATCCCTGTGCTGTGGGGACTCCCAGCTTCCCACAGCCCTGCACAGGCTCCATCCCAGGGAGCTTGTCACCAGCTCAGGCAGGAGCAGGACCTGGCCCCGGGTGCTTCCAGGGCAAGCCATCGCCTCTCCTGGGAACGCCGCACGGATAAGGGGATAAGAGGGAGCATCCACCTTTCCCTCGGCCCCACCCCGACATTACCTTGGAGATATAGGTCAGCTGCAGAGATCCCACAGCACCCGCTCCGATGGCCAGGTTCTGCAACACAGGGAATGAGCAATGGGAGGTAAATGACAGGGAGGAGGCGGCGGGGGCGAGCCAGGCTCTCCTTTGTGTCCTCGGGGTCAGGCAGCAGCCTCGGCCGCTTCCCTCCCTGTGCCCTGGTTCAGCTCAGACCCCCCAGCAGCAGGACCAGCCCTGCTGTGCTGCACCCCAGTGCTGTCCCCGTGTCAGGACAGTCCTGGAAACCACAGAGGTCACAGAGGGGCTGGAGCCTGGTCACGGCCACACTCAGCCACAGGACACCCCAACAGACAACCCACACAGCAGGCAGTGACCTTCAGGGACCTGGGGGAGATGCCTGCACCAGGGAGGCCAGGATGTGCCTACGGACTCACTGACAACTTCCACAGACGTGCCCAGCACATGAGCCTACCTGAGGGTTGTCCATGTACCACAGGAGGTGGTTGGCCTGGGTGTCCAGGATAAAATACCTCCGCAGGAACTTGCCACAGGTCTCATTTTCTTCAATGTCCAGGAACCCGCAGATCCGATTCTGTCGGTCCAGGTACGGCATTCCGGGTTCCTTCTGGCATCACCCTGCAGAGCCAGGACAGGCAGGGAGAGGTGGGTGCTCTGCTCCTACAGCCCCGGCTCTCCAGGGAGCTGCTCCTGCACTCACAGCCATCCCAACCCATTGGAGCCAGATGTGCCAGGGTGCCAGCGCAGTCACTCAGCCACACCTGAGCTCACCAGAGGGAGAGGAAAGGGATAACCTACCAACCCATCACTCAGCCCCAAGAGCCACCAACCCCTGTGAGAGAGGACAGAGTAGCCACAAAGGATCTGACGTGAGACACCAGATCCCTGGGAACTGTGGCAAAAAATAATCCCGAGTCAGACTGTGCGCTAGAGAGAGCCGAGAACACTCCCAGGAAATGAGAAACAATCTGCAACTCCAGCAGAAAATCCGTGCAGCCAGGATGCCGAGTCAGCAGGGCAAACAATGACCCGTCACAGCGGGGCCACAACGTGCCCCCAGGTCTGCCATGGGCATGGGCCCTCCGTGGCACTGTCCCCTCCCTGGCACTGTCCCTCCCTGGCACTGTCCCCTCCCTGGCACTGTCCCCCAGACAGGGGTGTCCCTCGAGCCCCCCTGGGCTGCAGCAGGAACACCGTCACTTCCAGCCCCACGCGGGGAGCGGAAGCGGCACCGAGAGCTGCGGGTGGGTGGGCAGGACACGTCCCAGTGCCCGGGCAGAGCCCCCCGTGCACGGGGCAGGGTGCAGGGAAGGGCTGGGGGCGGCCGTTACCCGGAGGATGAGAGCGAAGCTGGTGTGGTTTGTCTGGCAGGAGAGGGGAGATCACGCAGGTGCCAGAAGCGGAGCCACACAAATAAAAGACCTCATGCAGAAAAGGAGGAAATACTATTTTTGAGCTGCTGTGGAGTGGGGCCCGAGGAGGCAAGGGTTGTGCAAGAGCTGGGCTGCAGCTGCAAAGGTAGAGGAGGCAGAACAAAAGTCAACCTGCTGTCAGGACCTCAGTTTATCACCAGCGTTTCAGAGATGGGTATTGGGGCTTGGCTCAAGGGGAACTGTGCTGCTGCAGGGGGAGAGGTTGGTTCAGACCAACACGGGTGCCCCAGTGCAAAGGTTTATGTGGGGCACTTCACGTCTCGCTGCTTTTTTGTGGGGTTATTTTTGTGGTGGGGAAGCACGTGGAAAGCCAGTTGCCGGGTGCCTTCAACCGCCAACACATTCAGACCAAGCCTCGTAAACTCTCTCTTCCTTCTGCTGATAATAAAAGCCCAGACATTTCTGCTCAGGAGAGGGATGAGGATGAGCAGAGTGTGCCACAGGCACTGCAGGGATGAGCCCTGAGCCCCCAGCCCCATGGGACTCCTGATGGGACCCCCCAGGTCCCTCCACTGCCATCCTTCATTACCACAGGCTCGTCTGGGACCCCACAAAACAGCTCAGCCCTTCCGTGCACGCTGACCTCAGGCTGCACTTGAATGTGCACAAACCTCTGGGCAGAGGAGGCTGGGACTGCCCTACACCCAGACCCCAGCCTGTCCCCTCACACCCCACTGCCCACAGGACACAAATGGTCTGTGTTCTTGGGGCCACCGAGAACTTCACTTTTCCATAGGAAAAGGATAAAACTAGCATTTCCAGCTCTGCTATGCTCAGGAACTCCAGGAGGGCCAGAAAATGCTCAATTCGCACCAACACTGACTATTTACACAGCACTTTGTAAATTCCAACTCATAAATAATAAATATTTCTATGTGAAACCCAAACAGAAAAGGAACATCATTTAAAAGTGTGGATGAGCCTCTGAAGCTGTCAGAGTGAGGAGGAGCTTCAGCTTCTGAGGACATCCTGTATGGAAACACGATGGACATAACACTGGGAGCAACGATTTGTGGATGATGCTCAGCCCTGATTCACAGAGGCTGATCTGCCACCCAATGACTACGAACTTCCCGAGCATTACACTGAATCCAACCCTCAGCATTACACTGAATCCAACCCTCAGGAGGAGCTCGTTACCAGATCCTGCTTAGGAATGCATGCCATCTCCTAGTGAAGCACATCAGAGGATGTGCACTACCAGGACTCCTTCCTACCTCTGAAGCAACCAACTTTCGAGCTTTTTCAGTCCTAATGTCCCAATAAAAAAGACACCCCTTTCCTGACGCAGTGAATGAGATGGCAAGTAGTTGGTCTGTAGAAGAAGTTTACAGCAAAATACTCTCTTGCCTACCTCCTGAGATAGAGGGATGTGCTTCCCAGGGAGAGGCAGGAGGAGCAGGGCACAGTCCACGCAGCACCCAAGTCCCCTCTGCAGCCACGGGTGGCTCAGAGGCCTCGTGTGCAGCCACACAGCCAGACTTTCCGGGAAGAACCCCGGGACACCAGCACTGGATCCACCACCCCGTCACGGCTGCTCATGCCCTGCTCTGCCCTGCTCCCAGCACAGCTACAGCCACAGGAGTGACCCAGGGACACTCCGCAGCAGGAAAACCCGAGGCAACGGGAGACCCGACATCTGGAGCATCACAGCTGCGCTGCCAGAGCCTGGCACTTCACTCCACAGCACCCATCACACCGGAGGGCAGCCACTGCATCCTCCTCCTCCTCCTCCTCCTCTCTCACTCCTGTCTGCCCGAGCTGCCCTGGTGGCGGGTGCAGGAGGACGCCCCGTTTCAGACGGGCTGGGAGCTGCGATGCCCGGTGTCCCGCTGCCCCACGAGCTGAGCCGCAGCCGCTGCAGCTCCACTTCCTCCGACCTGCTCTTGCAGAGGAGCTCCGGGAGCTCGCGCGGCGACGTCTGTCCCGACCCGCGAGACGGACGGGGGAGGCAGAGCCCAGCGGGTCGCTCCTGCTAATTCCAGACATTTGCCTTAATGGAGTGATTAACCTGTCGGGAGCAGGCTGGGAGCAGCCAGGATACAGCTCTTTATCTGGCCACGAAGAGTCGGGGAGCACAGCGAAGAGCTGCACATCCCTGATCCCCGCCGCACGTTTGCTTCCAGCCCCACAGACTCTCGGCGGCGATGGTGCCCGCAGTACTCCCGGGGCTCCTACGGGAACCCCTCTGCTCCCCCAAACCTCGTCTGTCCAGGCGGAGCCCCCCTCGCTGCCCCCCGCTTCCCCGTCCCCGACCCTTCACTGCAGGCACCGCCGCTCGCACCGGGAGGGCTCGACC